ATCCCGAGGAAATCATGAGGCCGCATTCTGCGGTCTTGGACACACCCAACAAGTGAAGTTTAGCAAAGAACAATACAAATGTGCCAGTTTAGACCATTATGGAGAAAGCTATGCGTTACTATACAATAGGCCAGTCGTTGTGACACCAATGTTTAACTTACTCCTAAAAACTGCACTATGGAGGACACGAATCTACTTCAAGGTAAGCAGAACGACTGTATCAACTGCAGTTAGCTGAGTATTGCACTGGAATGTTTTTGACGCAACATCACTGACAGCGAAATGAGAAAAAATAAGCATGACCATACTTATGGTCTAGGTATGAAAGGGAAGTCTTCAGTATTGATGAGGTGGGCTAAGATGAAATACCTAACATAAGAAGGAAGTGGCTGCGGAGTTTGCTTTGCTCAGCGGTGGTTTCGGACATAAGGCGATTGACTCGTTCAACTACAGCCGCGCGGTAGGTCGTCCCCTCAGTTAACTCATCCCAGACGAGGTCCGTGAGGTTGAAGCGCCTCCACAACTTAGGCGCAGACACCGAAGGAGGACCTGCCGGTAATTTAGACGTCAGGAGTTGGTACGCCGCCACACGCCAAAAGGCCGTCTCATATGTGTCCCCAAATAACAGAGCTGTCAGTAGGCAGCGCTCCACAATGCTCAATTGAGAGGACTCAAACGGAGCACATAAATGTTTCCTAAAGAAAGGCGGTGTCCAGTAAACTGAAATCTTCAACGATAAAGTTCCCAGCAGGATTATAGGTTATTATCTCGATGACTGAAAATAATGCATGTCAGTACGTCAGTAATCAAGAGATGACAAATAATATAAAAATAATTGCAAATCACAAGAAATGCCAGGAAACATTAATAGTCACTTGACATGCCAATCTATTCAGCAATTATGCAATGGGAGAGGATTTAACTTACGTGCTTCGGAATTTTGCAAAGAAGCGATTAACAGAAGATTGCACATTGGTGAAGGTTGTATCTAGTGGAGGACACATGAGGACAACCCCACCGGAGGCCTTCTCTGAAGTGGAGAGGGGTGATCGCCAAGGTTGGTGCTGCAGCAGGTGTCTGATGGTCAGAGCTACGTTCGTTGGCAACAGACTGGGTAAATACAGGAAATCTGGGTACAAAATGAAAAAGGGATAAGACAATCTAGCCAAAAACGGTCAAGAGGAGAATTATTGAATCAAATAATGATGTGAATAAGTTAGCTCCTCATCATTGGCCAAGGACCGAATCATGTGATCGATGAAATATAAATATCGAAACATGAAATACTATCGACCTGAAAGGGTATGTACATTCTGACAAAACCAGCGCAAATACTTAATGTTTTATTGCTGACAGTGATAAACCTAAGATACGGTGATAGAAACAAATGCCGTCATTCAGCTTGCGCTTTAATGCAGAGAAAGCGGGAAAATCCATCTCAATGCTCTTCAACGTCAAAGTTCTGCGCAAATGGTAATAGAATAAGCAAGTAAGTGTTTTGGTAAAAAAAATTACACTAGGTTTTATATGAACTGCCATTTTCTTAAGGCGTAAAAGACAAAGGTATGAATGGAAAATCATACGTACTTCCTTATAGGTTGCTTTTGATGGATTTCAAAGCCAATTTGTTCAAAAAGAAAAATACAACAAGAACAAAAAGACATTAAAAGTGAGAGAAGAATAGTTAAGTAAACACACCGTTCGTCTCAACATCACTTGAGAGCGGGCTATTGAACTTAAATTGTGAAACCGGCAGAAAATCATCAGAACCCTCGATGATACTGTTCCTTCGTTGTCCTGCGCCTGTTCCACCGCATTCCATCCCCGACTCATTCATAGATCTATTGGCCGCCATGACACCGGCAGTGGCCAAACTGAGGGAGCCGTCAACGGTGAGGAGAACGCAAGAAGGGAAGGGATCCACTGGGGAAAGGGCAGCGTTGGTCCAGGTGGCATCAATAAGGACCTTCTGTGGGCTGATGCCAAAGCGTGTCGCACACAACAACACCATCTAGAGTCGAGGATTTTTATACTATCAGTGAAAAGCACAGTACCTGTCTGGGCTCCCAAACCGTGACACTGCCGTTGCACAGCGTGAGTAGATAACAAGGCAGCTCCCCAGAGAATATGAATTCCACCTTTTTGACATGGCTCAATGCGGAGACTTCTCCATTTGTACCAATGAGTTCATTCTTTGAGCTTGGAGATGCAGTAGAGGTTAGCATAGCAGAGCCAGAAGCAAAACCAGCCACATATCGCTTAATAGTCTTCTTCTCTTGCAGATTTCTAACCGCTACACAACCATCAGCCATGCCAAAGGCAATCATGGGAGAGCGCCAAGATGCACAAGTTATGTTATTTCCAATGTTTCGAGGCAGACTTTGAACTCTAAGAGGAAGAATGGCATTGGACAGGCTGATTGTGAATCAAGAATCATTAGTTATTTTATACTCGATTAATTCTAACAATGCATTTATCAAATCAGGATGATCGTTCTCTAGTGTTGTAGAGGTGTCTGTGAAGACGCGTGATTTTATGGACTAAAGGGACATGAATTAATATCAGCCTTTAAGCATGACGAAAGAAACAATACCAAGAATCCAAACAACGCACATGGAAGAGCTCATACTCTATGCTTGAATGCTCTTAATGATGGTCCTTAAGAAATGCATAACGAAGCCATGAATGAACTTTAGGGAACTACTCTTATCTACTCAGTAGTACAGAAGTTAAGAGTTTAGCTCTCAAGTCGAAAACATCAAAAAGGCCACTCAACACTATGATTCCACTTTCATAATGCTTACATCGTACTGGAGATGGACATAGTTTCCACATTGAAGCCCTCCATTGTAAAGAGTTTCAAATTCAAAGGCGATGTGCATAGAATAAATGTCTCACGCATAAAGGAGTCGCCTGCATTTGAGTCTTTTGCAAGTGTTGACGGTATCAACCCAGAAGTACCACTGAAAATAAAGAAAAAGACCGTACCAACATAAACTTTAAAGGCTTATCGAACTTTCTACACCTTTAGGGCAAAGACTCAATCACAAGGGAGGCGAAAATAGAAACAAGGTGCATGTAAGAACTGAGGCTATAGAAATCCAGAGGCTGAAACATCAACAAAATAGACCATGATATGCGCTTCTAAAATCATATTATATCAATGTGATGCACCATTAAGAAATCATGTTATATACAAAAATTAAATTGTGAAGCACTACATGCCTATTGCCTTTGGGTGAAACGCAAGTCACCGTTTCTACGCGTATCATCGTAAAGTTAACAGTTGAAGTGGTCATCTCAAACTCCTAATGCATTTGCAAAAATCAAATGACATCTACCTGGAGTACCAAACGGAAACGAAGGCGTTTCGAGTTTTTTTCTTGCAGTACAAACACTCAATGGTTTGCAACAGCTTACGACAACGCACTCATCCTTTTATTACGGTGATGTGAAGTACAAAAAGTTAAAAAAATTGACAATTACCTTTGAGGGGAAGATGAATGACCTGAAAAGTTGGCGTTAGACCACGTCTAAAAATGCCAATCACTATTACACCATCAAGGTGATATTTATTTCAAGTGCGAAAATAAAAGTTGATAATCATACCAAGGCTGTGGGTCTAGAATCCTCGACAGAGAAGGACTTTAGAAGTACCAACTTCTGAGCATCCCAGATCTCCAGAGGCCATCCTTCATAAAGAATCGCGAGGTACTGTCTAACAATAGAGGGAAAGTGAATAACGTACACTTCAAAACACCAAGATTACAAAAAAATAAGTCCATCAAAATCGATTTATGATGTTGGTTAGCGGTAATAAGAGCAAAAGTGAGGAAGAGATACAAATCTCAGAGGTACCTACCACGGGTCACTTTTGAAGGCTAAATAGTGACAAAAAGGCTGAAAAGTACGTGCTTGAAGACCGTACCCGAGATTACTAATCTTCAAGCACTGAATCGGCGTGACCGCGGCGGAGAAATCGGTAGGGTTCAAAGCCTCGATAAGCCTCCTGCATGGTTTGATGACAGGTACCGGTTTCTGCATGGTCAGTTTGAAGAGGTTTAGCTCCTTAGCATCAGCGCTTTGTGTGACCACCGACTGCTGTCGACCTGTTTCAAGTTCAATGCGCACGACGGTGTTATGGACGCTAAGCGCCGGTTTGGCAGGTTCCTGAACGGTGCCACTGCTACCACTGCTGATGCTAGAAACTTCAGAAGTCTGATGAGTGTACGCGAAGAGAGTGAGCCCGCCTGATTCGCCTGCGCTTCCTGCTTCCCCAGGGAGTATGCCCCAGGCCAGACCGTGGACAGGCCCGTTGACCAGAAGATACTCCCGCCACATTTTGGCTGCAAACAGATCCCATATCTGCACCAGAAAGGGATGGTAGGCATATATTAGGAATCGAAAGCTGTGTTAGAACGCAAGATTAATTATGATACTCCAACGACTCAAAATAGATAGATCATAGATTAAAACATTGAATAATGGGACTATTGGAGAGGGACAAAAAGCCTAATGGCAATTACGTAGGGGAAGATAGTGCTAGCTTAAAATAGTGAATTTTGTTACCAACTATGAAATTGGTAAATTATAAATGCTTAGTCTTAGTTAGGCATCTTCAAGAATGTCTGGGGCCGCTACGGGTGCGACTGTGATGTTGAATAAACACCAGCCGCCAATAGGAATCTTGGTTATTTCTGAACTGAAAAGAAGTGAAAAATTGTTATCGGCCAAACTAAACATTTATAGTCGTGGTACAGAATGAAAGACTGCTTCGACTTGAACATTAAAGCCCTAAAATGAGCGACTCAACCATTCAGGCAAACATCGTAATATGACGATTTCTAAAATCACACAAGATGGAAAGCCATTTTACATTATGTGAAAAAACCAATATCATTGAGTTAAATTATGAAATCGAAACGCTGCTGTTCAACACGAATTCCGTATTAAGGTATGCGGCTAGGCAAATCATCCTTACGAGCAAATGAAAAAAAAATAACATGCAATACCAAAGACATGAAAAGCGACGGCAGGAAGACGTATCAGTGGAATGGTCAAAATTATGCTCCAAACGTTAAAAATCAGTCAAGAAAAGATAAAAGGATGGCTCCAAAGTCCTAACCTGAACAGTACCGCGTGTGGTTCCTACAGCAATGAGCGAATCATGTTTGATTTTGGTGGGAAAGAGAAGTAAGAAATGGGATGGACATGCACAGCAAACGGTAGGCGAAGAAGAACCCCCGCTATAGAAGCCAGTGAAGCGTATACGCAGAGCCGTGCCATTTCTGTTGAGGTATACAAACACAGGAAGATAATTACTTCTCATAAAGCTTGATTAGCAGCAAACAAATTTTTTTTAAAATCATATACAACAGGTAAGTTAATTTAGTGGCAGTTGCAAGGATCATAGCTTCATAAGCAGTGGGCTGTTTGAGGACAAGAATGAAACAATAATCCGGATAGCTATAAAATAAATGGACAGTGGGACGACGGCAAATGAAAATTTACTTGAAATGTAAAAAAATCACAGAACACGAAGTGGATGTGATCTAGTTTAGAACCCAACAGTCAAAACAGTGCTGCTTTGGAAGAAGAACTCTTTAACACTGAAAAAGCATACTCAACGAACCATAAAGTCACTTCATAATTAACGACAGAGTAGCAGTCAAATCCCTGCTAAAAGGCAATAATAACACCAAGACATACATATTTTCAAAATCCAAAGCCTTCATTACGTCCATAAGGGTCCATCTTGGCCAGCCATCTTTCGAAGGAGCATCAGATTCGATTTCGAAGAACTTGGAGAAAAAAAATATGGAACCGTATCAGTACTGGCATCAATACAACCCAATACGAAACGTTTAACGCACTTGCAGACGACCGTCCGAAGTCGCAACCGTGATCGCTAACTCAGTGCTAGGATCGACGGACATAGCGACAACACTGAAGTTTCTACCCCGTCGAAGAGACTTTGATTCACACAGAAAGTGGTACTTAAGGTCAGTAGGCGCATGCAAAAACGGTTCTTCCATAAAGGCGGGTACTAATGCAGACAGGCAGTAGTGTAGACTGACAGTGCCGTTTTGATGCAAGCATATCAGAGCATCGGCCTGGCGACAGCAGTATACCTTATCAAAGACCAACCGCAAAAATGTAAACGAACTATAAAAATGCAAAGAAATGCCCTCGACCAAACAAAGTAAAAATGTTGTACGATAAAAAAGACAAAAAAGGCAGGGCGGATACACAACTGCAGCAATTTTGGATATCACTCTGAGTATGAGGGTTGGTAAATTGCATGAAGGAATGATGTGAGAACAGAGTTTGATTAGTACAACACGAGTGGTATTTGAACACAACTGTTTTACCCCTTTCATTCAACTTACATAGACAAAAGAAGATGACGACTGGTCTAAGCGAATAACACCAACGCATTGTGAAAGGATCATATCAAAAAACACAATTTCTCGAGGGTACACAAAGACTGTATGCTGTTTGCGAAAACCATGATATAGAATTTGGAGGGGCACCTCGTTGCCGCTAGTGGCATCAGTTGCACTGAACCGTTCACTGTTTCTGCAAAAAAAGGTTGGTTTGTTTATTTTACCGTACACAATTAATTTAAGTAGCATTCATGTACTT